GTTTCAGAAGGAATTCATTATAGGCCTAGGCCTAAGTTTATTTAGATTATTTTCATAATTTTTTTTATAAATAATTCTATAATAATTATATAAATATTATATTATTAGATTTACTATATTTCATGACATGGGTTCTTAATATGCCTTCATATTTTGTCTTTTATACATTAATAAATATTTTTGAATATACAGTAATAATATTTATTGTTATATTACTATTTTTATGATCTTGATTCTTTAATAAACTATTGATTTTTATATATTCAATTTTGTTTGCATAATAATTACTATTGTTATCATTGTTTATCTCTAATATTATTTTATGATTTTCTGAAATGTTTATCATCTCTTAGTTCAACTATTACATCTGTTATACTCAATGTATTTCCTGTACTATAGTATCAAATACTGGAAAAGTAAGTTTTCTACTATGAACATCAATAACTGTAGCTGTTTACCAAGGGAACTGATATCCATCCCAAATTTTTTTTGACAAATACAAACAAACAGTGTACTCCCAAGGGATTTGATGCCAAGTGTCCCCCGGGCATCCCTCAACTTCCTGATGAATAGAACCTCTTCTTAAGTCCGAACGTCAATATCCGTTTTTTAACCGCTTCTCAAAAAAAAAGTAAAAATCATTCCAGTCAAAAATGTTTTGTCCATTTTGGAAAAGATGTCAGTTTCAATATCATATTTATGTCAATATTGTCAATGAAATCCAGATGAATTTATTTTGTAAATTTTAAGTTATATCTCAAAATTTTAAGTTTGTTTTTGTCTTTTTCTATCTTTTTTTTAAATATTAAAATGTCAATATAAAATTTGTAATATTAATATTGAATTAAATTTGAATAATTATGAGTGAAATATTGATGTTTAGGCTGACTTTCACTTTCATTTTTTCAAGTAAATTAAATTAATAATTAAAGTAACCATTATTGTTTTATAAGCCTGTACTTATTCATCTTCCTGGTTTCCATTACTAAAATGATTAAATTTTTAAAAAATTATCAAAACATTTTAAAGATTTCAATATTTTCAGTACAAATGAAAATGAACAATGTTCTGATATTTTTCCCCTCATCAATTATTCATCTTTCACAGTTTCAAAATTTGTCTTGAATACAATTATTTTTAATAACATCTTTTGTAATCCGCCTCGTCATTTTTCATTTCATAAATATGAAACACGTTTTGAGTTGGCACCAACCAGTCTGCGTATGAATTGTCACTATTAAAATTATGCAAGAATAAGTAGCAAGCCAGTCTGCTATTGTTCTTTTTGATTTATTTTGTACCCTCCATGACCCAGATGTCTTGTACTCTGAGAGAAATGTAACCATCGACCCCAAGCCAGTGTTATAATATCTGGTGGGTTAATTTGGTTTGTCTGCAAAGTTCAGTTCTACTTTCTCTTTGTCTCAATTTTATATTCCTTCATATTCTTTCAGCTGCAACTTTATAATCATAGTAATGATAATGATAATATTAATAATGATTATTGTATCTTGTATAAAACAGAGACACGCATTAAAAACAGGACATCCACATACCACACATGTAATTACAAAATACTTTGGCTAACAAATTCATGTAAGAAATAATAATTTAACTTAACCAAAAACTGAACAGGATAATATTTAAAAAATGGGGTTTTTTTTATGTTTTATTAATATTTCAATTTTTTTTATTCTGGATTGTGTACTCAATGCAAAGAGGCCCGATACTGATCCACAAAGTGAGTCATGCAAGAAATATGTGCATTGATCTAAGAATACACTGGACATTTGATTGGTCAATAATTGTGTCTGGATGATGTTATTAATCATCAATCGTGTCTGGATGAAAACAATCCCATTTTAATTTGAATTTATTTAGTTGAGTCATCCGGGCGTTCAAACACCCTGTGGCGTGAAGTGAACCATCCCTCGACTTTGCGTGTCATCGCTCCATCTCATTTTACATTAATTACGTAAAGTCATCAATGAGAGAAGAAAGACCGATGCCTCCGGCTGTAAAATCACTTGTAAAACATAAGCTTTTTATCTAGCCTGTCTCTGGGTTCTGTAAAGATGAACCGACTGTTAGTGGTTTTTTTCAATGGCACACACAGGCCCTCGGAAGTTTAGGGGTGTCTGTGGATGACACTAAATTGCCCTTTGTGTGCGGGTTGAACACACGCGCACACACACATTCCCGTGTGTATTAATGTCAGAATGCAGTTCCAATCTTGATTTTGTGCATAAGAAGTTCATCTGGCGAAAATTGCAAATTAAAATGTAAATGAACCATTGTGTTGTGAAATAGGTTTCTTTTGCAGCTTGTTGGATTCATGTTGTTATTCAGAAACAAAAAAAATTTAGCTGTGATTCAAAATTCTCAACACATACATCATTTATTTTGATACTTGCATTAAAATGTAACATTTGAAACTACTTGATCTCTTAAACATTATTATAAACTGCTATGTCAATGCATGCTACAATATATGGATCACCATAAGTTCTAAAACCGAGTGGAATACTTCCCAATTCATGTGGATTAGTTTTATATTTTTTATCATTTTAAAGAGGGCCCCTGGATATCAGCTGGCTGGCGGATTCAGCTGGAAGTTACCCTCTTAAAATAAAGTTGAAATAAAAAATTGAATTATGGACCTTAATATAGTTTAAAGATTAAATTTATATAATTTAATTTTGATGTGGATTATGGCAGTTTTGAACAAATTCAATTATGATTTTTAGTCAAAATTTTTTTATTATGTAAATTTCATTGTTCATGTGCGGCAATAAAGTTTAATTTCATTTTCAATATTCACATTATTGACTCGTGTGTTACAATGTTAATCTTAAATATCCTTGAATTTTCACATGTGAATTTGAGAAAAAAAATCATTGAAATTAACTGCTTGGTTAAAGTAAGGTTCCCTCCTTTGTATCGCCCCCCTTGAGAATCCACTCAAGGTCCAGATATTAAATATTATAAAATGATCCTTGAAAATGTACAAATTATTAAAAATAATATTTCATAATAAGCCTACAATGAAAGTGATTCATTGAATTGTGTCATCTAGAGGTAAAATGTTCCATGTAGATGCCAATCATTTTTTTACATGGGAAGGGGAATTTAAATATATTTTAATGAGGCACTTTTATTTTCTTCACATAGGCAGCTACAATGCAGAGTTTATATATTTTTAAAGAAATTATTTTCAGTCAACAGCAAGTAAGGACCAATCTACTAAGCCTTGCCCATCTGCGATTTTTGCTAAGGTCCTAGACATTTGTATAGTAACATGCTCAGCATATGTACTCCTGGACTACTACTGAATAACACATTCTGGGTGGTCAATTTCTAAGTTGACACTTTATAGTATAGGATAGAATAGTACTCCAGTTAACTAAAGAAGAAAATCCTAGTGTCTGATAGCGTTTGAACCCAGAACCCTATGGCCGTCCCAAGGCAAAACAACGTAACTTATCAAAAATGTCAAAGCAGTTATGGTGTTTCGCCATGGGATGGCCGCCATGGATTGGAGACAAGCATCTTTTGCTTCACTCCATCTTTAGATATATGCCAAGGCTAGCCACATTTGAAGAGCCTATTTATTGCTTGAAATGGTGCTCCGATTTCTGTAGGATTTTGTAAGTGTGTTACCTTGTCATGTGACAAAGAAATAGGCGCTCCACACCGAAAAAACAGACCATGAAGGCAAATTAGTTTAGTTATTAAATGTACTGGCTACTTTATATTTTAGTCTTTACAGAAATAGCGGAAACGTTCGTAACTTGTTTGTCATGTCAAATGTATGTTGAAGGACTTTTAATTACCAATAGAAATTTACATGCCCCATTCCATGTATATCTACTACAGATTTCATTGATTGTTTTAGATGAGCGATGTACTAGGACTAACAGTAGCCATGGCGGCAAACTGGTCGCAATGGTGGCACCACTACAAGGTTGTATGAATGAGTAATAAGTTAAACAGTGAGATTGTAGCTAAATATAGTTAAGGGCATCCATAATTTTTATAAGAGTACAAAATATATTATTTTCTGTGAACTCCCTCCCTCTCCATAAAACAGTACACAATAAAATGATTTGTCATTTTGAGGTGATCATTTTATCTTTTTTACAAATGAGTACTTTATGCTTACACTTTCAACCCCCTCCCCACTAAAGCCTATGCTTGTACCCTTTTGAAAATGTTAAAAATTATGAATGGCCCCTTGTTATCTTATCCCTCAGATGCTTAATTGTTCTCAAGGCTTACTGTATTCTTCTTCATATTTAGCAATTGATGATAAATATGCGACAAGACTGCCCTCTAGAAACAGAATGTTCGACAAACATTTTATAAAGTAAAGATAGCACTGCCTTTGAATTTTGCATGGCATTTCTGTAACGTGCAGTGTGCTTCCAAAGATCATGATTTACAGTTGATTTATTTTTTATTTTATAGAGGGCTCACTAGAATCGATATGACCATTATAGACTCACAGTTCTCTTTTATTTTTTGCTTGTTTTTTGTAGAAGTTAAACTGTTAGTCAGCGCTCCTATTTTGTTACACACTTGATCGAGTGTGATAACACTTTCTGATGTTAAATGGCAACTGCTTCTTTTATAATTCATTTTTGTGGTTTCTAAATAAGGTCATTTCAAGTACATCATAATCAAATGACATTATTAATAAATTATTTATTATTATCTACACAACATACAGTAGTAATCGATTTTAAATCACTGTGTAATTTTATGTGACTGAAACATTTGTATGAAGTCGTTGAATTTTCCAATATATCTACGCATCCTTGACCTCATGTCAGGTTGTTTGTACCAGGAAGGTGACTCTTTAGAGTTTAACAGCTGAGTTAATGTTGGGTCCAACTAATTGGGTGCGGCTAACATTTAACAAACTTTGACATAATACTAATTAATAAAATTCTCATAAATTGTTGGTTTTTATCGATTGTTTCCTTGCCATTTTCTTTCAGACATCTAGCGCGCAACCCTTTCATTTGCGATTGCAACTTAAAATGGTTGGCCGAATATCTACAAGCCAATCCAATTGAGACAACTCAAGCCAGATGCGAGTCACCGCGTAGAATGCAACGTAAACGTCTGATGACTATGAAGCCAATTAAATATAAATGCAAGGGTAAGAGCGATAAGTGTTTGATCAGTAGTTTTAGTATCATTACTTGTAAAGGGGGTTAAACTTGACAAGAGAAATCTTTTATTTTAACCTCCTATTGCCATGTGTAATTGTTTAACTCTTTTTGTATATACTGTTGGAATTTGTTTGGCAATAAAAGTGAAATGAAATGAAACTTATTTCATCATTCTCTATTATGTTTACTGTAGATCTACCCAAATGCATTTCTTGATTCTCTCTTACGCCATCGTCAGGCTCATGTTTTTCATCACCGAATCATCGTCATGATCATGATCTCCATCATCATCATATCATCTTCATCTTATCATCATTATCTTCATCATCATCATAATTCATCATCTCCATCATATCATCATCACCCATTATCATTATCATCATCTTCATCATGTCATCATTGTCATCATCATCTTCATCATTATCATCAACACCATATCTTCATCATCATCTCCATCATCATCACCATTATCTCTATCATGTCATTATCTCCGTTATTATCATCCCTATATCATCATCATCCTCAACATCATCATCATCCTCATCATCGATATCATCCTCATCATCATCATCTCCATAAAGATATTTAACCTTATCCTCCTCCCTCTCCACCTTCATATCTCCGTTTTTCCCACTATCGTCATTATTCCTATCACCAGTATTCTGATTAGGGCTTGTCACCTCATTCCTAATTTCAATCATATAATAATCTTTATCAACTGATTAGACGATAATACATTGTTGATAAACCCACAGGTTCAGAATTCCACAGAACATCAAAAGCTGGTGAATGCTTCATCGACCGTGACTGCCCTGCTTTCTGTATCTGCGAAGGAACAGTAATTGATTGTTCGCATGCTGGGTTGAGGGCACTACCAGAAGGCTTGCCTATATTCACAACAGAATTGTATGTACTTGTATTAGATTTAGTATTTTTGAAAATGATCAAATAGGTAAATCTTGAATTCTGAAAACATTTTTTTGTATTAATAGAATTGTATGTATTGTTTCATTTCATGCATATTTATACATTTTAAATCTATTAGTTAATTTTTGGTGAAAAAAACTAATTAATATATGAATTAAAATGTATCTCTGGGATGTATTCCAACTAGTAAATTGGACAAATAATTTTATTATATGATTTTAATGTTTTTTTTTTCCGCTAGAAAACTCAATAATAATGAGATATCAAGAATACCAGCTGACGGGTATTTCAGTAAACTTCCAAATCTTCAATCTCTGTAAGTATTAAGTATGTTATTGTGTACAAATTGGAGTTATAACTTACAGTATCTTTCAGTCTCTGATTTCTGTGTTCAAATCTTGAAATTCTATTTTCTCTTGCAACCAAAATCAAGACTACTTCCTAAGCATCAGTCTATAGACCATTTTATCAGAATTATTTTGAAAAAGCTCGGCCAAGGTTTTGCAACTCGCCAGGGGACTTTCAGCGGCCTAGCCTGAGCAGCTAGCTAGTTACAAATAGAGCACCGCGCAGCTTATAGCGCCGCTAGACCCTCGCCATAGCAGCAGTAGATAACATTACAGACACGATAAGACTTAGACTTGTTTTTAATATAAACATTTCATATTTATTCGGTTTTAAAATGTTTGTGCTCTCAGTGATACCAATGCCAATGTATCTGGATTATTACACTCACTAATATCTTTAGTTTTTGCATCAGAGAAAATGTTATTACTGTATATACTTCATCTACTGAACTACACTTTTATACAATATTTTTTGTGTGTTTACATAACCTATATTGTGTGTACTATATGAGTATCAGGAAAACAGATTTTTCTTTTATGAAAATTGTATTGTTATGTAATTGTGGATTATAAATATTTCTTTATTATTTTTATCTATTGAAACGTTCATCAGCATTTAATAATTCATCACATTTTTCCAACTAAGACTTAATTGCAGCTTGATGTAATTTGTCTTGTTCAATTTGTAAGCTTAGGTTAAATCTGGTGGCTGAAATTAAAATAAATTGATGAATTACAGTTTGTGTCGTTTTATATTATAGTGATCTGAGAACAAACCGAATATCCAGCATTGAGAAGGGTGCTTTTCTAGGAGCTTCCAAATTGCTAAGTTTGTAAGTATATTTTCAGGTGAAACAACTGCATGATAACGTATACCAAAAATTAAGTTAGTTGGATATCTTCTGTAGAATTTCTTGTGTTGGATTAATTGTATAATAATTGGTAATCTTACTTAGATGAGATTTGATCTGACAAATATTCTTAATATTTATCAGTTTAGTTTTAGATGAAATTGTGAAAATGTTGCATCACATATTTCTAGTTTTCTGAGATGTCAGTCTTTAGATCGATTGATTAACATGTGCTTGTCTAAATTGTAGAATTTGTAACAATTTGTAGTTCTTGCTGTAGTTAATAATGATTGTTTACCCACAATGCTTTGTAAGTTTTCTGTGAAGTGAGACCTTCCATATGTGATATCTGAATGTTTGTTACTTCCATGCCAAAAAAAAGATGTCTGAAAATTTGTAATTTTTTCTAACTAATAACATGCAAAAACAAAATAAAATGGATTCCAAGCAAGCTTACATAATTAGAAGCATGTACAATACATTCTAACATAGATGTGTACTGCATTGCAGTGCATCACATGATAAAAATATCAGGATTTTGATATTTTCAACAGGATATATGGATGAAAATGCTCACTAAATTTACCATATTATTAACAAATGGGTCTGCCCTTATAAATAATTAATATTTCCATGAAATAAATGCATGAAATATTTTTTCCAAGGTATCGTTATGGAGGTCTGTAGTAGGCTTGCATTTAGTGTAGTGTTTTTTTCTTTGCTTTTTTTTCTTTTGAGCATCTGTTTATTTTTTACCTGGTGAAAAGGTACCTCACAAATAACAAGTTGAGCAAACTGGTCCAGGATGCTTTCATCGGGCTAAGTTCTGTGAAAGTACTGTAAGTATCTGGCAACTAATGACAGAACTCATCATTTGTATATTATCATTCTGTCACCTTATAATATATCTAGCAACTGATGTTTCATTCTTATTTCCTGTCATTTGCTTGCATCAGAAATATGCATTTTAAAAAATTTATATTCACAAAATAGCCATTCACTTTTGGTCAAATGGTGCTTTGTAAGTCTACATCAAAGTATTTACTGTACTATACATTGTAAAAATAGGTGATGCACCAAATTAGGCCTTCTATTCTCTTATAGTCAAGCTATGCAATTCTTATCAAAGGGTGAGAAACTCAACCTCCTTTTCGTACACCCCCCCCCCCCCACTCCACTAATGTTGTATTTATATGCTTGAAAGCTTCACTTTTTGACCCTCTCCCCTCAAGTTGTACCCTTGGATCCCAGGACCCATTGCTGTCATAGTAACCCTCCTCCCCTTCTATTATGAAATTAAAAGTCACCAGAAACAGATTGTCACCTGAAACACTAGTTCAACTGCAATCATTTTCTGTGATATACCAAAGAAACTACTCTTCTTTTTATTTAAGAACAACACACAATTTAATTTCTTATTTTCATTTTTATTTAAGTTCAGCTATCATTTTGAGGTCCAATAACAGGATGCCTTGTATCATATAAAGATATAAAGTGAATTGAAATTATGTATAGGCCTATTCAAATAATTTTTTTTTTAAATACATCATAAGAAATGACGAGATCTCATTGAAATTCAATTCAATTTTATTAATATGGTAGATGGATAAGGATACAAATACGTAATTAAAAAATAATTTAAAATGTACAACTTGCAGATAGTACATTAAAATTCAAAATATTATTGCAACACCCAGAATTTAAATGATTATATATATATATATACAGTATGTAATTGCTTTTAGCGCAATTTACTAAAGTTGGGACTAAAACATAATGGTAGTGTCATTTATATAATTAGTGTTTATATAGAAAATATATTAATAATAAATAATACAAATAAATGTGCAGCATTAATGGTTATGAGCCAAAGAAGAATATTGAATTTGAAATTTTCATATCATTAAAATTTTAATTAGATTTTCATTGATTCTGGCCATAACTTCCGAATACTAAGTCACGAATTCAGATTTTTCATCTTGTAGAAACCTATAGAGAATTAAGCTAGTAACTAGCTCATTATAGAGATGATATTCCAAAGTAGTCACGTATTACCAATGCACCATCTCGTCCACTCATTGAACATTATTTAAATGTGGAAGACACGTACACAACATCCCACCAGGGAAATACATATGTCTATGAGTCACCACCTTAATGAGTTCACTTAAGAAGTAGTCTTGGGTAAGTGTTAAAAAATTAAGCAAGTTTAGGGTTACAGCGGCTAATAATAATTAGTCTGGTCGTAATCGATAATGGATTTCAGAATCAATGACTGCTTATTTTAACTTATAAGACACCATATTCTAGACATATCACTCTACTTAATATTTTTAAATAAATAAACAGATGTTTTTATTTTGCTACTGATTGATGTTATACTTTCAAATATTAAAAATTGTTTGGCCTTGTATTTGGTATATATCACACACATTATACACCCTCTTCAAATAACCTATTGATTTCATAAGGAAAAGTATTCTCAAAAATAATTATTTCTATGATAGCCAATTCCTGATCTTTATACCTCTTACATCACACTCAAATGAAAAAAAAATGAATTGACATTTTATGAACTTTTAATACTTAATGATAAACATGAAGGAAACTCACTTAAGCTGAGAGATAAAATTATAGATACTGAGATTTCATTAGGACCTGACTATATACATATAGTCTGCTCGTCCCCTAAGTCATAGGTTCAGCAGACGAATGGCAGATAAATTCAGCAAATCGGCACGTTTTATCATTTACTTGTATCCTGTTAGGACGACGTATGATGTATAATGATAGGTTAGGTGGTTCTATGTTAAAGTGATATTGAGTTATAAAATAGAAGGGACATCATTTGCAGTTAATACATCAAAAGAATTAAAAATGGGGTAAAGATTGTGAAACCAGGCATAGAGACAACTAAGCATACAGGTCCTATGGGCTTTTTCCCCTTTTCCAAATGCTTTACTCTATCCTTGTATCATGTTAGATTAAGTAGAATATGTACTAGGGCTGTCACTGACCCCCTCATTTACTGTCATTCTATCTGGGACCTCACAGTGGCTTATCTGAACTGAAGTTTTTTTGCCTCAAAACATTCGTTTTAAGGTACTGTTACTTGGTAATTACCTTCTAATCATATTGTCCTAGTCCCAAATCCTGTGACACCAGGTTTAATTTCTATTTATAAAAAAAAATCCACTTAAGTGGTAAGTCAGTTTGCTGTTGGGGGTGGGGGGTCTGGGATAAACGTTTTTAACCCTACAGTATTAGCTCCCTATAATTCTAGCCTTCTCTCCTCTCCCACTCATTCTTCCCCCTACTAGATGAAGCCCTCCACTAGGTAAAATATCTTCCGTTTGTCAGACAAAATCTACATCATATTCATGACTGTAAATTATTCCTGTTAATTTCATTGTTGACTAAAATGCTTACATTTTGTTATTATACAAGTTTGCTATGTAACTATCAATAATGATCATAATCTAACAAGCTTTTGTTTATGTCTGGATTGCATGTGGAAATGTTCATGTTTAAGTAACACATTTATACTAATGACATTGGTGACATTACAGATGTTTTTTTTATGAATGTGCATATTGATCATTCAGAGATTATTATAGATATATATTATATATGTCATTTTATATATATTTTGCCATGGTTTCATATGTTATATAATAACTAATTCTGAAGTTCATAATTTATATGCTTGAAATAATAGTATATAGATATTTGAATCATTTTTACATATGTTTATTGCATTTATATTGGAATGATATAAATATGAAACAAATATGAAAAAATTTTCGACCAGTCCTCTGGCCTTCATTAGATTTACTGTACATACATACATATATATATATATATATATATATATATAGTTTTTACATTTCTTTATTAAAATATATATTGGAATTGTATTATCACATTCACTGCTGCACCCATTTTTCTAGTTGTTGCTTATTTTCATGTGCAAATACATATTTTGAAATTATTAGTAGTCACCAGGCATAATAATCACATGTCATTAAGTCATGTGAAGAAAAAAAAATGCTTGGCCCTGGCATTGGGATAAAGTTTTTAATTGCCAGCAGCTTACTCATCCCACAATTTACATGCCGAATTATGTTGATTTCCTGCATTTGTTTATATTTTTTTTGATAATACATTTTTTTCTAAAACAACCAACCACAAATATATCATTTATTTCCTGTTTGAAGGGAGATTATTGATTGTGATGGGCACCACAACATCATATTCTCACATTAACCGGAACAAAAAATACTGAACATATTATGGTTATTTTTACAGTACTGCATACATGTAAGTGGGTGGGGGAATTTGGACAGGCCTAGACCCACTTTCGCCTGACGCCACGACGAGGTTGTCGGATCAAAAATAATTTTCCAATCCAAATAATGTTAGTAATGTTAATTGCTAACACTGTGGTCTAAAAGCACAATTTGGACCATATTAAGCCATAAAACCTCTCCTTGTAAATCCTACCGGGGACTTTTTATTGTGGAACCCCGACCGAGGCTCTAGTCAGCCCCATGGCTTGGACACCATGTCGGACCCCTGTCGGCAAATCTTTTGGAGTCACCGCTGATATAGGCCTATGTACATTACATGAATTGCTGTGCAAGATTTACCGTAGTTGTCCGGCTCTGTTTCGTTGAGTATAATTGTTGTGGCACCCTCAGCAACAACCTGTTGGCCGAGTACAGTTGTTCATATTGCTGTCAACATGTTAAAATTATTGGATTCATAAAAACATTAATATTTTTATGTAAATTACTCATTGGTGTTAAAGTGAATCACATATTGGTAGCAACAGCTTAAACTCTCAAATGTGTTGCTCTGCTTTTTGTTTTTGGGATTTTCTTTCTTTTTTTTTTTTTTTCCTTTTATTCATTCATCTATCATGTTTTTTATTTACAGTCAAACTTGCCTAAGTCGAATTAAAAGTGCCATTGAATTTGTTCGAATAAAATTTGACTTACAGATTATTAATTAATGGAAAACACAACAATTTGGCATGTAATAATGTAATATTCAAGTTAGGCAAACTCAACTTAGGCAAGTTTAATTGTATACACTATACTTGCTTTTTGGTATTTACATATACTGTACATTTAATGTAATATGTATATATATTTAAATGCACAGGCTCTTAGTAAGTATGATGTGAAAAAAAACAATACAAAATGAAGGATGCATTTGTGTAGGGTCATCTAAGGTTCCTCTTTCCATCCAACAAAAAGTAATTTTGAAATGAATTATACATTTTATCTTTTTGCAAAGATAAAATGTTATGTCCAGTTTCCATTTCTTTTAAATTTTTATTTTGACATTTTTAGTTTATCGTTTACTGATACCAATTAATCATATTTTTAATTTTTATTTTTGTACAGAATATTAAGGAACAACCGACTCTCATGCATAACCAATGAAACATTTGCTGGTCTCCGATCTGTACAGTTATTGTAAGTAAACTACCGTAAATGCTCAAATAAGAACCGCTCTCAAATAACCGCAGCTCTCGAAATAAGTGACGCACCAATCCTGATTTTTTTTCTAAGCACCGCTCTCGAATAAGCACTGCAGCGCTTAATCAAAATCATATATTTCCCTGTGTGTAATAAAACACTTTGAGAAACAGGGCATTTACAGTATTCAGTACAGTATGTTATCAACTATTAAGCGTAATGGAATATTTATAAAGTGCCCTCCCTTCTAATATAAATGTAATTGTTCGATCCTCCTGAAGATACACCACAAAAATCTTGTTGATTTGGATTTATGTTAGTTAATATTTATCTAGGACTAGAATATTTTTTACAAATACGGTATCAAAGTATCAAAAATATGATAGGCGTTTAATATAAATTATTTATTTTACCTGAAACCTAAGACTTAGTTTTATAAACTTTGTTAAATCCGCCTGACACAATCCTATCAAAACAAGAAGTGATATACTACATTGATTTCCCCCACAAGGAATAGAGGGAATTCATGTTTGATCCAGGTTGTATACTCCTGTGTATGACTCACTGTTGAAAACTTCCAAGGATTTACGATCGGCTGATAAAGATCGCCACCAGGGAACAGTGGGATTTGAACTGGGAAGTTCCTGGCGGTTTAGGAGGATCATTCTATGTTTTTTATATCATCTGATCTGTAATTTCCATTTAAGTAATTTTCTCGCCTTGCCCTGTTCCTAGGTCACTCTATGAGAATCAGATTTCAAGTGTGATGCCCGGAGCCTTTGACATGAGTCCAAGTTTAACAACTTTGTAAGTCATTAATATACTAGTTAATTGAAAGTGATACATAGAAATAAGTTGCCTTTTGTGTTTTGATATAAGAATGTATTGCATCGATTTCATTTAATGTACAGTTGTCAAATAAATTATTGAATGAATTATTAAATTATTATTTTATAGCTAGAATAAAAGAATATAAGAATGTATTGCATCGATTTCATTATTATGTACAGTTGTCAAATAAATTATTGAATGGATTTAATATTAAATTATTATTTTATAGCTATTATTGATTATGATTAAGAAATATTTACACTATTGATTTTCATAATTAATAATGATATTTTGTTATTAATTCATCTTTTTCAAAAATCACCACATTAAGTGAAATTTTTATGTTGGAACAAAAGTTTAAAATTTTATACAATAATGATATTTGTTATATTATTGTAATTATTTTGTTATTTGGTACTGTTATTTTATTGTACTGTTATTGACTTTATTATTATTATTATTATTATTATTATTATTATTATTATTATTAATGTTATTGTTGTTGTTGTTGTTGTTGTTGTTGTTGTTGTTGTTGTTGTTTTAGATTATTACTAATGTTATAATTTTACATTGGTTTTGTTGTTTTATTTGTTTATATTATTTTCATCTTTACTTTTCAAATACCAGTTAAAAATCTTTTCTTTTTTATTCATTAAATCAAATTTCTCTAAAATGCTCTACATTGGTTGTTGTGACTTTATTCATTGTTAAAGGCTATTCTACTTTCACAAGAATTATTGATTTCAGAAAAAGATAATACAGCAATATTGAAGTAATAATTATAGTTTCTATTTTTCCCCCAAATGTTTGTCTTAGAAATCTACTGAACAATCCATTTATATGCAACTGTCATTTAGCGTGGTTATCGGAATGGCTTCAGGCACGTCAATTAGTGACGGGCACTCCTCGCTGCCTGCAGCCACCGTCGGTTCAGCATCTTCCACTAGAGGACCTCTCCCCAGAGGCCTTTACATGCGATGGTAAGGTTTCCTTTGTTCGTTTGGTAAACATTTCTAGAAATTAAATATGCATGAGTTTCTGCTTTTCTTTGTCTCTGTATTTGATGTTAAGGACCCACTGGAAGTATGTGATCATAGATTCTAATTTATGTATTTTGGACTGAATAAGTTAACTGAGTGTGTTATTGGACAATTTTATTATATTATGGGGATTTTTCAATTTCCAGTATAAAACCACAGGTGCACATACATACTGTAGTACTATATAGTGCAAGCCTACATGGTACAAGCAATGTCAGTTGCCTAAACAGGGGCATAGGAAATGCACCCCCCCCCCCCCCCCCTTTGCTCCAAACCTATGCTTCAAAATAATTTTTCAAAATTACAAAATATAAATATTTTTAATAATAAAATGCATCCACATATTTCATTTTTCCAGTTAATGATGACAATACTTGTCGACCCGATGTCATGTGTCCTAAGGGATGCGCTTGCAGCGGGACCGTCATAAGGTGTAGCCGCAAAGAACTCAAGACTCCTCCTCTCAACATTCCATTGTCTTCAACAGAATTGTAAGTCATGTTAAAGAAACATGTTTTTGTTCTTGTATGTTTTTTGTTAGAAGTCATCTAGATCATACTGTGGCCCTTGGTTCAGTTAACTACAAAGTGTTTCCTTGTACTATAGGGCTGAATTGCAACTTAATAGTTCTGTTTATCAAGAGATATAAAGGATTAAAGTATTAGAGATGTTTAATCTCTTTGCCCTATGCAGAACATGGATTTTAGAAAAATCCAGAACCAGAGGAGGGAATTGTGTCATGTGAACAAACCACCATCATCATCCTTGATGAGTGGACTATTGGGTGGAATTTTGAAAACATACTATACAATCAATTAATACAATTAATTAGGTCTGTTTATGATTAAGTTGAAGAAATTCATCTGGTTCTATAAATATATTTTTGTTATTTTTTCCAAATTTTCTAGGTATTTGGATAACAACCTGCTTACTGACATACCAAGTGGATTATCAAAACTCAAAAAGCTCACTACGCTGTAAGTTTCACTTTCAAATTTTATACTTGTAATTCGGTTTGTTGCTAGGTTCACAATAGAGCTACTCTTGATCTAAAAGAGAAAATGAAAATTATATCCTAATAAAATCTTTTTCTCTAGAGTCAGAAAAGTCTTCAAATTTTATTGAAATTTAAGACGATATAGACTTTGTGATCAAATCTGGAATCCTTAATAATTGAATCAAAACATTTGCACAATTATAAGGTCAAGTAAGCAATTGACTTTTAGTGAGACATGGGTAAAAACAATTCGTTTTCATTGATTTCTGAATTTGTACTCTGAAAATTGTTTAATTGAATACTAGGCAATTTTAAAGTCAATGCAAAAAAAACAGTAGGCTTATTATGGGTTTCTAAATAGGAAAGGAAACAATTGATTGTTATATTTATTGAAAGCTAATGACTTACTTAATATGAAGTATATAATTTAAATAATGAATTTTATTGAACTTTCAACACAGAGAATATATATTTGTAACAGTTTGGTGTTATATAATGTGCTTCATTTCCTGAACTCTATTAACAATGATAATATATGTCAGTAATATTAAACGGATACAGATGTTATTAAATAGGCATTTTATGATAATGCTATTAAGACATATCTTTAAACAAATGTTAATATAGCCCAGGAGGTATAAAAACTATTATTACATTACCCAGACAATTGGGGTAGTATTGAAGTAATATTTATCACTCAAACTCTTAATTTTTTTGTTCTTCTAGTGATTTGAGCAACAATTTGATTACCTATATCCCAGAAAATGCATTTGTCAACATGACCAGCCTATCAACAATGTAAGTAAGGAAATTAAAAAAAGGTTAAATTTGATATCAGCAAGCCACTTTTATTCTATCACCCATGCTGATATAATTTTTTTTTTTTTTTTTGGTTCAATTTTATTCATAAAATCTTGTTGAAAAGAGTGAAAGAAAATTTATGAGTAAATACAGTAGCAAATATAGTAGCATTATAAATACAGTAGCATTATATACAACTTTAAAAGTTGAAAGGGTAAGAGCAGTCCAGACAGTTGTTTTTTAACTCATGTTTCTAATTTCTTTTTAGAAGGTGGGAGGAGGAAGAAATTGTATGGTTTATCGCTTAACGAGAATGAAACCTTAAAGTGGTTATCTCTCAAGATTGCAATAATAACTTTTTTTTTGGCTCAAACTTGATGATGATAAATGTGGTGGCTGTTACTACGCTGCACATACTCTTGCAATTGTCTGTATTACCATAGAGAACTATAATTTTTCCATGGTATTACATTTATAGTAGCCACGATCTTTGTTATAAACTGTTTGATAAGATACAGGGTGTTGTACCTTTCAATGTTTTTTTCATTCTTTTTTCAGAATTTTAAGCTTCAATAAAGTAGGCTGTATTCCGAAGGGGGCATTTAAAGGACTCAGAACTCTAAGGCTCCTGTAAGTGTTCTCAGTTATGCATCATTTCACAAATAGCAGCATGTCATATTGATCAACGTCCCCAATTGGGCTGTTTGTGCAATATAGCTATCAAAAAGATTTAATAGCCAATGAGAGATCACGATATTCTTTCTTTGCTATTAAAATCTTTCTTTGTTTAAAAGTCCCACTTAGCCAATGAAGCAGAGTTTTAGAAAGAATTGACTCAAATTTAATTTCTCAGCAATAACTTTAGTAAGTAGATAATTGCCTATATTTTGTAATTTATTAAAGAATTATAAAATTAGGAGAATTGTGCAAAGCAAGTTTATGTAAAGCTCACATAAATGTACGACAGTAGGACATTTTACAAATTAATAAATGCGATATTGTGAATCAATTGACGGAATTTACCTCATTCTTTTGAAGGTCGAGTGACAATGCAAAATGAAATAATTGTATGAGGTATAGGAAATGTAATTGGCCAGGGAGGGATAGAAGGAAACAGTTAATCAGATAAACAACAAACGGAATATAAATGATTCGTCATGTACATTGTCATCAAATGTGTACATGACAATGATAAGATGAGGTGACGATGACCTCCACAATTATCTGAATCTGGGAAATTAACAGGTGCTTTGATGGGACATGATTGACATCTCGTCTACTAAGGCTCTATCTACGTTATCAAGTTTATATGTTACAAATTTGTGTGAATTATCCATATAAGGAGCACACGATGATGTCATATCACATCCATAGACATGATGATGTCATATCATACCCATTAGCATGATGATGTCATATCACATCCATGGGCATGATGATATCATGTCATGCCCATATATGGGCAAATCACAGTTATTTGTCACATAGAGTTTAATTATTGATAAAGTACACTTACATCACATATATATATTACTCTTGATGGTTTGATGGTATGTTTGTATTTGAAAAACAATTCAGGTTTTTTATACACTATGTGCTGTTACCTGAACTGAGCAATATCAAATTCACACTCTTAACTATCTCATTAAAAATATATTTTGACATACATATATATGTGAATTATTTTTTGCAGGTCTCTCCATGGTAACGAGATCTCGCACATCCCAGAGGGTGCATTCAATGAAATGACATCACTTACTCACCTGTAAGTAAAAAGCAGAAGATTATAGTACTTTTAATTGATTTATTGATATTACACTTTTGATTTAGCTGTAAGTATAAGTTGTAATGGCATGCTTAAAGGTAGTGGATTATAAACTTTGCTCAAATTCTTCCTGATTCAAAACTTACACATGTTTTAGGCAAGTCATTCTTGGTAACCTTGTTAGCCTTGCTCTTCGTCATCCATTTCAACATTCCTAAATTCTATGATTTAATGTTTTCTGAAGTTGTAGTAGTAGTTTAAGTAAATGTTTATATTTTTTCAGCTGTATGTATGCCTTGTATTTATGTTGGCATACTTTAAGTAAATTGAGTGAAATATGCTCAATGTATTTCCTGATTTAAAAACTTACTCATGTTTTAGTCAAATCATTCTTGGTAAGTCTGGTTGCCTTGCTCTTTTAATTAGAGATTAATGTATTGGTCCCATGTGGAAATTAGTGTTCTGTACCCCTATTAGTAGAGCACAAAAAAATTAAAACTTTTGAGAATAGTGTAGGTATGATGACCTGCCAGTGTTGTGACAATTTTACTTGTCTGCATTTTGTTGTGTCATTGTTGATTTAATTTGAATTTATTCAGAAATCACTTAATATACTACAAAAATCACTTCAAAAAAACTAATTTTAAAAAAAGATTTTCCCGGATAGCCCAAAAAGCTTAAACAGCTTATTTCCTTTGTGGATTGCCAGTTACACCATTAAGTTTTATGTGACCAAACTATATTAATGGGATTTGCCAAATAAAGCATATTGATGTCAAATCCCAGGTATTGGTGTGGAATGAGACCTCATTGTCATATTATATTACCATCTTTTTTTTGCAGTGCTCTTAGCTCTAACCCACTCTACTGTGATTGTAAACTGAAGTGGCTGTCAGATTGGGTTAAGGACGGTTACCGTGAGCCTGGCACTGCCAGATGTGATGGCCCCTATGATCTCAAATACAAGCCTATCCTTACAGCGCCCTCTAGGAAGTTTATCTGTTTTGGTAGGTAGATGAGGAACTATATATAATAGCAGTAACATGAAAATTGGTATTGAAATAAATTTCTGGTTTAACTGGTGAAACAAAATCATGAGGCTTACAATAATGATGATGTTCAAATAATTTCATAATAATGATTATGATAATGACAGTGATGGCTTGTTGCTTGTATATGATAATGATTATGATAAAATTGGTGATAATAATGGCAATGATTATGATAACAACGATGATAATTTATGATAAGGATGGTAAGTGCTTATGATATAAAAATAATCATAAAATATGGTTATCATGATGATAACAAGATGATAATGACAATGACTATAATGATCATAAAGCTGGTTGTAATATGATAATAATAATGATAATATAAAATTTAATTTACGTTAAGCCAAAAAGATAAGGGTTATTTCTCACCAGTAGCTTTCAATCTGCATTCTCAGACCTTCTTCAGCTGAAGAATAATGATGATGATATTGAATATGATAATACATTATATTTCCATGACTTAAATGTCTTTTATCTAACAGAGGGTCAAGAGGGAAGTGGTGAAGAAAAATGCGATCCCTGTTTGTCGAACCCTTGTCAAAATGACGGCATGTGCGCCAGTGACTCCCTAGGCCAATACACGTGTCAATGCGCCTCTGGGTTTGAAGGACACAACTGCGAAACTGAAACCAACGAATGTGCAGATGAACCTTGCCACAACATGGCAACGTGTATTGACTTGAAAGCAGGGTTCAGGTTAGTTATAGAATGATCAGCAATTATGAATATTGTAGTGCATGTGTGTGTGTATATATATATAATATATATATATATATATATATATATATATATAGTATGTGTGTGATGCTTGTATTTTTATCTTTATTTTAGCCAATAGAAATATTAGTCTTATTAATTTTGTAGCTTGAAATTTAATAATTATAATCAATCAATCGGCAGGTTATAGTTCATACGTTTTAATCCTTTGGAAAGTGATAACAGGCTCAAACAATTGCCTAAAAAATGTCTAATAGCAAGTAATCGCAATGAAGAAATGAACAGAAAGACCATAATATTAATAATTAAATAGGGAAGCTAATAGAAAAATTGGTCTACCTGTAGCTATATGATATTGTGTACTTATGTTGCAAGTGAACTAATTAATTTTCTCTCGCTTGTTTTTGCGTAGTTGTGAGTGTCCATCAGGCTTTGGTGGTGCCACTTGTGATCTTATTATAGACTGTCGCAATCATCGCTGTCAGAATAACGCATCCTGCTCTGTGAATGAAAATAGAGGCTACACTTGTAATTGCCAGCATGGATACAAAGGTTTGTACACAAACTAAAATTGAAAAATACAGTTTGTTATACTTGATTCATACACAAAAAACTGTTCTCCCGTGCTAGTGATAATTAGCAAGCATCCCATTTTAGTTTGTGTTCGAGTGAATGCAGATTCGTGTAAGATTAGCACGCGTCCCATGCAATATGCATGTCTGTAAAAAGATATCACTGAGGTCTGTAACACTACTTTAGATAATTACCGTGTGTCTGCGTATGCTCAAAAGGGACAGGCTTTCTTTTATTGCAGCATCATGTATAAGTTACTGTTTGTGTACCACCTGTACAAAAAAACAAACAAAATGTTATTGTCATGTATTTAATATCTTTGAAATTGTACTAATAATGTTTGAAAACTTCACCATAGGGGATTTCTGTGAAGTGGATATTGATCTGTGTGAAGCAAGTATTAACCCCTGCAGAAATAATGGAATCTGCCAGGATCTAGGCTCATTTTACAGGTATGTTCTATACTTCTAAATAGATACGGCCAAATTCCAAAGTATATCATTTAAAAGCTTCTTGTTTAATATTATTATCATCTAGAAAGTTATACAATAACTTTTTTTCATATTTAAATTCAGGTGTATATGTCCAGCCGGTTTCAGAGGTCAAAACTGCTCGGAGGGCTTCCGCGATTGTCGGTCTCGTTCATGTGTTAATGGAGGTGACTGCCTAGAAGTTGGTACGCAGTACATGTGCCGCTGCCCTGTTGGTTTTGAAGGGGATTACTGTGAAATTCCACCTATCATCTACGCAAGTACCAGCCCATGCGAAGTACACGAGTGCCAGAACAATGGACAATGTGTATACACTAGTGCCACGTCATCAACCACGTGCAGCTGTTTACCAGGCTTCCGTGGCGACAAATGCGAAATCGTTACCAGCATGAAATTCCGGTCACGCGGTGCATATTTGCAGTTTACGGACATGGACACCAGCCAAACTCTGAACATCCAGGTAGTGTTTGCGACAATTCAAGAATATGGTGTGATACTGTACCATGGAAACATTGAGCATATCGCAGTGGAGTTATTCCGTGGGAGAATACGCGTCAGCTACGATATTGGCAACTACCCTGTCATCACGATGTTCAGTCCAGAGAAACTAAATGATGGGCAGTTCCACGAGTTGAACTTGAAAGTCGCGCAGAAGAACATATCGATGAGTGTCGACAGTGGCGAATGGCAGCTTTCAAAGAGTATGGGGACCAATGCCCACTTTGACATTGATGTGAAGACCTACATTGGTGGTCTGCCAAGTGATGAGATAGAAAACGCTCTGCAACAGGTTCATGTCAGAAACAGCACCAGCTTTTTTGGTAGGTTAAAGTTGATGATTCTTCAAAATTTATATACTGTCCATTTAGCTAAAAACTCGATTAATGTGTTAATGGAGAGGTTTACACCATAACAAATTTGATTAAAATTATATATATATTTCTTTTTTACTATTGTTTTAGTTCTGGCAAACTACACAAACAATAATAATAGTAATAATAATTGTCGACTTATATAGTGCTTGTTGTAGAGACCTCTATGCACTTAGCATTATTACCACCGGCCATTGGATCAAACACATATGGAACACATACTCAGGTTCCTTGGGAGATTTCCATAATGTTGCAGCTGTAATCAGCGCATGGTTGTGTTTGAACCTACCAGGTATCCACTTGTACACCTGGGTGGAGAGAGTAAAGTGCCGTGCCCAAGGACACAAGCGACAATGCAAAACTATGTTAAATGTTTAATTATATGAGAAAAAAAATACAATAACAGCATCAACCATAAAGGTCAGGACAAAGTAATTTTTTAAAACAATTTCCCCACCCTTTGTTCTGGTTTCAGCAATGGCTTTAGATGTACCGTACTTATCACTTTTTTCAATTTTAATCTTTACAAAATAGTAATAATATTAAGTCACTTGCTCACTTAGTGGTAATAGATACGGATTTACATAATTAAAATGATATGTGACTTGTTTCATTGTTCCACAGGCTGTGTCACAAAATTCACAATCAATGGGGTCTACTACGACGTGTCCTCCAGTGAATACTCGCATAATGTAATCGAGGGTTGCCCATCACCTGACAAGCCAAACCCTTGCATGGATCACCAGTGTGTCAATGGATTCTGCCGCGAGACCAGTGACGCAGGATCGCAGTGTGACTGTCAAGACGGCTGGATGGGTCGATACTGTAACACAAGTACGTTATTAAAATGAATTATTTCTTGAGACTGTTTTAGTTCTCTAATTCTCTATGAATCTGGTATTATGCATGATTTGTGCAATAAAAGTTCCATTGGGTACAACTATTTGTCAGAAAAGAGCTGTTTAGCTTAGTTGGTATTAGTTGGTAACTCCTTTTTTGGTTTAGCATTGAAGTAGTAAAAATACTGTATCATCATTTTTGTGATCCCTGCTTGTACTGTTCTCTAATGTTTAAATATGGTGCTAAAAATCTCTATTATATACAGGTGATATTGAGGCTCAGTCTCGGCTCATTGAGTAAAAGTGAAATCTGGGAACAAAAATTAACAACTACGGTGGTTATATTGGAACAGTCCAACTATCATATCATTTAACAGATCTTTGCTACTGCTGATAGCTTGCTTCTTCCCCAAACTCTCAAAAAAAATTTCTTTGTACTACTAACCCCTTGAGCACATTCTTTCTAAAGTGAATATGAAGCCATTGCCATTTTAGCAATATTTTGTAAAACTAACTGATTTTCTTGTTATTCTTTTTCTAAAGGAACTACATGTGGAAAGCAGACAGTTACATCACACCTAGTCGACACAGATGTAAATGATGAGGAGGTATGCAGGAGTCGTAAATTAATCACCCATGCCTCGTGCAACGGAGAGTGTGGCCTGAATGATGCCTCCTGTTGCCGGCCTAGGAGAACGCGAATCAAAAACATTGAGTTTGCATGCACGAACGGAACTGTTTATGAACGTCCTGTAAGAATCGTCCGAGACTGCAAGTGTCAGTTATGTCTAGGGAGAGCCTCGTGAAAGAGATGAGGGCAGTGCAGAGTTGTATCAAAGGAGAACTTGTTCATAAACTTAAGACTGATCATAGTATTTGTAAATAATCAGTTTTGAAAAACTATCGTTTGACATCTTGGAGTTTTAGATGATGCCTATGCGACATTTGGTAATTGCACATGTGTAGGCTTGGTGAGATATTCTTACTTTGGGTCATTAGAAAAAACTTGTATCAAAATGAAGGCCTAGAGGGTGTTGTAGTGCAACGGTTAGGGCTGGTGTAAGTAATAAAGCCAGAAATAGTCTCTTGATAGCAGTTATATACCGAAATTGTATTATATGTGTATAGGCTAGGTCAGATCAGCAAATATTGTAAGGAAATGGTGAGGTTTTGGCGGGAACCCCGATGTAGTTTTGGTTGGCAGCCGACAATACCCGCTGGCAGGAAACACACTATGAGCACGCCAGGGTACAATACATATATTCAACAAATCGTTTGGTCTGAGTATAGTTATTGTTTTCATAAAGATTATAACCTGAATTTTACTACAAAATATTTTAACTTTATATTTGTTTTTCATTTGCCAATGTTTACCTTTAAATTTCAAATATCAATGAATTTTGTAACAAGAAAATAAATAATTGTGTTTTTTATACATTTGTGTAGAAAAAATATATTTTGTAAAGTTTACTCATGCTTTTCGTTTATGAAATTAACTTCAGTGTGATATTTTAAATTTGATAGTATTGTAAATCAGTTGTAAATATAGCAAAAATTATTGGGTGAATAATTTGGAATTTAGCTTATTACCTTATATGGTCATTGCCTTATAAGGACCTTGCCTTTTATGAGGCATTGTGTTAAATCAAATTTTGACTAATCTACCAAATGATTTGATAAATCCAAATCATTATGGAGAGAGTAACATAATATTATGCCAATGAATTTTGGAGGGGGAAATGGCTACTATATTAAGAGTAACTTAATTCTGATTGGTTGGAATGTTTTCCCAAAATGCATTAGTATCTTCTCAGGTGCTCTATTGTCAGTTCAACTCTATACAAAGTTTGCAGTGTATATTTCAGGGCTGGATGTATTTAAAAGAAAGTTGAAATATAGCCAAAGATTGGATTATAAAAACAGCGCCAGCACAAATTTGAGATTAATATTGATTACAAAGTTATTTAATATAATTTTTTTTTTCAAGCTATCTGAATGAAAAGAAAAGGAATGTATAATTTGTTTTTGCTGCAAACTAAGCCATGCAATTTATTTGTATTACGCTTTCTTGTCCATTTATTAGAACTTAAAAATCGGCTTAAGATGTAACCAAAATATGCACATGGAAAACAAGGTTGACTATGGTTAATATTATAATAACCTATATACTTTGAATTTGCACAATATAAGTATAGATTTATGTGAAATGTTCAAAACAAAAAACCCATTTTATTACCTCTTTTAAAAACATAGAAGGTATAGCCCAAAAAAAAATCCATTAATTTTTATGTGCGCTGAACCATGACTATATGTGCACTTAAAACATGACGATGTGTTCCTGGTTCTGTTCCATCAAGCTGCTCTCGCAGTTCAGTTAATTTACTGTCTTTCGGGAAAGACGTTTAGCTTTTGGTCAAATGGCCCATGTAGTCATTAAAAACACAATAACTGTTTATTTCTGTTTCATTACTTGGCGATTCCATTCCTTATTTTTCCTTTTATTGAAGTTAGAATGTCTTTTGGGGTATTTTTGTCAAGAAATGTCAATCTTCATAAACCTGAAATATTTAAGTAACCCTTACATTTCATTATATCTTTTTATTAATGAAATATTTCATTCGATAGATGGTAGTTTTTAAAGTGAAAACAAACAACCGTTTTAAAATTTTAAAACTAAGTGTGAAGTTAAAATACAGATGAAAAGGGTATGATATAATTTTGATATATTTAAAGTGGTGTGTTTTATTTTCGTATTGTATGTTCGTATTTGTTGTATAAGAACCTTGAATAACACTAATATACGAGCCGCGTGGTCCACATTGGTATTTATATAAAAAATAATATTAAAAACATATAACTTAACACTATATAAACTTTTGTACATTTAAATAAGTGTGTCGTATCGGTACACTCACACCTGGTGCGGCGAAACTTCAGCAGTATTTACAAAACATTGTGAACTGCTTGTAAGTGAATATGAATGGAAAGATAAGTCGCATATCGATTGACTACTGTAAAGCTGAATTTGTTCGCATTTGTATTCTATTTACTGTATTAAAATTGCATTCTGATAATTATTATACATACAGTAGTTAAGATGTGGAATAAAGTATACCTATGTAAATGAATAGATGGCTTGATTCTGCTTAATTTGTCACAGCGAAAATACATTGCACTATATCACATACAAGAATTCTCGAGATCCCGATGTCACTGGGATTTCAGCCTCTTGTGACTGCTACTCAAAACTTATCTTTTTAATTTGTGTTTTGCTTAACTCTGGTTTTTATTTATAATGTAAAGCACATTGAGGCTTTCAGCAAAATGCGCTCAATCAAATCAAGATCAAACGATTATTGTTATTATTATTATTAGTGAGTTTTCATCCTGTGTACCAGTGGTTAGGGTGGGTCCATAATAGAACTTCTGTTGTAGGGGAGATTGGAGATGGCCCAAAATTGCGCTTTTAGACCACAATATTATTACCGAATAGCAATTATTTTTCATCCGATGTACTCGTTATGATGTCTATTGACGTTTACGTAGGAACATTCTGCAAAAGGACCTTATGGTCCGTAAGAGCAGGGTAACAGGGGCTGTGTGCAGTGGCGGCTCTAGAATATAATTTATGGGGGGGCTAAGATGTCCAACTGGGGGCTAAGTATTTATGGGTGTAACTATAGCGTGCAGCGTTATCTGAGGGCCAAAGGCCAGAGCCAGGGGTGGGTATGGGGGTGTCCCCTCCTCCCAAAACGAGATTTTTTTTTTAAATTGGGACTTTTAGATGGCCGGAAATGGCTGAGATGGGAAAACTAGGCCTATTTTTTTTTTTTGGTCCGACTGCCCGACAAGCTTTGGCCGATGGGTGGGAGGGGTGGGAGCTTGAGTAGACCGATGGGGGGTGGGGCTTAAGCTCCCTGGCGCCGCCACTGGCTGTATGGACCAGTACACTAGGGTAACACCCCCTCCCCCAATCCCTTCTCGTCTCAAAAAATGTACTGGGTTCTTTAAAGTGCACATGAACCAATTGTGTACCCAGGGCCTACGGTATAGTCCTTATCCGAGAAGACTTGTTACGCCACCATGCTTGTCTAACGACATTCCTCTCACCCACCACCCGTCATCTTTCTCGCCAATGCCGCCACTAGTGAACTCGCCACCCCCCTGTTTCTGTAGGGAGATCGAATATCATGCCTGAGAGGGGATGGCAGCAAATGCACAATGGATGTTTGGCTTATTTAGCCAAACTCATGATTGGAGGCTAGAATCCACTTTTCTTTATTGAGCATAACCCTTTTTTGGATAGTACAGTTGTACAATGTTGGCATGGTGTTTTTGTTTTTGTTTTTTTTTTAGTTTTTTCCCTCAAAAGAAAGGCTACATTGCAATTTAAATGTTCAAAACTCATTGAAATGATTGGCTGTTTGTAGTTTCACATAAATCCACTTTACATAAATACGAACCTAAATTCCATTGAAATATTATTTTTGCTACTTTTACAGGCTTCCTTTATCTGCTAGGCCTATAAGGTTTTTAGATCATCATCATATAGACCTGTTTGAGTAAGAACCAAAAGTTTGTGACGCCCAGACGCGTGAACAGATCTGGATGTAATATATTGTAGCACAATTTCCTTAGGTGTCTTACCATTAGGCCTATTGGTATTTTTTGAGTTCCTATTTATGTCCATTAAGATATCGTAAAAATCATTTTACACTAACTATTTATGTCCATTAAGATATCGTAAAAATAATTTTACACTTACACGAATCTACACATGATTGGACGAGGACTTATCACGCTACAAGAGCAACACATGTGAGAATGTATTATTCAAATTACGTTAATACAGTTGTAAAGTAATAATATTTTACAAAATTTTGCCAAAGGTGGAGTTGTAATCTTGGTTATGCTGGATTTATCTTCAGCTTTTGACACGGTGGATCGCCGTATTCTTGTGTAAAGGCTAGGTACCTACTACAGAATTATAGATAACGCTAACAGCTGGATTAAAACGTATGTCGAAAATAGGTACTGTAAGGTTACTGTGGCTTGGTTATGTTCTCACACGGCTGCTAACGGTTAGCAGGATCCGGAACCTGCTAACCGTTAGCTGCCGTGCGTCTTTCTGAGCGGGTAAAATAATTATACAGATGTTGGTAAATAGCTATACAGCTACAGCTATTTACTTCTTTATGGAGGGGAGGTTCAATTATTCAATCATTTAATTTAATATTAATTTTGGCTTTCAAGTTTCGCCATGGAGTTACAGAGCCAGAACATTCAAGCGGTCATAATGACGATAGGACGCATTTGTGTGGTGCAATGTATCTGTACCACAATGGGCGTTTCTTACTCAGTTCCATATAAAAAGAGAGACGTACTGTATCCCCAGAAAATAATAGCAGTTTATTACAGTATAATACTTTCAGCTTATTCGATATTTCTCATTTCTAGGCCTATTCTGAAAATTCCCAACTCTTCTCAACACTTGTTATTCTGACTTCAATAACTGCGAGATTCAAGTACAAACCGTATTTCACTCTGTAGATTTGATGACAGGTCTATAAATAATGTTTTAACCTCAGGCCTTTCGAACGCACATTATTGAAAGTGTGGTTAGTACTATACCATGACATCTTCTTTTACCACTAGAGTAAAATAATCCTTTTTTTTTTCTTTTTTCTTTTTTTCTTTTTTACAAATTGTTTAATCATGGGTTAATCATAATTTTTCTTTCAAAACATTTCCTTCCTATTGAGTCATCAAAAAGGCTAAAATCACACAGAAAGTTGATTCGATTTCGAAAGAGATAGTTATTGACGAAACATGGAATTGGTAATACTACTGTATTAACGGAAAAAATCAATCTATAACCAGTCAGTCATATCAGAGTTCAGTAGGCATATTGCCTGATATGCCTACGTAAAATATTGGTAGACAATGCATTCTCGGTTAGTTTGTTCACCTCCGCCACCACCACTGTGTGCTTCAACTCCGGAGAGTGACAAACGACGTATCAAAAACCCCTGAACAGAACTCCTATCACCTTTGATATATTTATAGCAGTACTTGAGATTCGGTTTACATTTTGTAAGCTGACTAGATAAACTAATTAATTATACCCGCCAATTCATGTGAATACAAAGAAAAAATCTGTTATCGTTACTAAATTTTCTTCCCATGAGTCTTTCTCTCCTTCACTGGTATAGTCAGAATTATTTCTTGGCTACTTTTGTTTATGGAATCATACAAAATTGGTATTATACCACACAGAGTGAAGAGAAAGCATGTCGCCTGTTTTCTTTCAAGTATTTAAATAGCTCATGACAGTTAATGATAATCTAAGAAACACGTGATCCTTGCTCCTTTTATATCATAACTTTTGAATCTCATTCAAATACACCTGTTTTGCGTAAATATTATTTTAGCTAATTAGTAAAGTGTAAATAAATAAAGAAAAAAACAATAGTAGCGAAGGTTATATTTAGGTTGATGGTTGTCAAAGCTTTTTTCTCTCTTATGTGGCAAAAACCATCATCAATATCGTTATAAATTCATAATTGAATTTATACATTTACATCTATAATAATAATAATAATTATAATAATAATAATAATAATAATAATGATGATGATGATGTCAGTTTCTATAGCGTCATAGCCGCAAAAATGCGCTCATGGCATTGTCCCAAGTAAAAAGATAACTGATATGGGCCCTAAAGTAATTGATTTTGTACATTCTTTTAGCTGTGGGGTAGCCTTTCATTACCCTCCTCTTTTCGTGGTTTTCATATGTTTTTAATCAATTCTCTTTTTCGACATACATAAACACATTTTCTTTTTTTTACATATTTTCTAGAACTATGATACAGTGAACACAATCACTGTGTTACAGAATATCAGACACAGCAAACTTGTTTAAATGTTATGTCAAATCTTGATGATAGCGGGCCTTAAACCTACTTCAGTTTTTTTTGTTTTGTTTTTTTTTTTTTTTGCACCGACAATTAACCCATGGTCTCAGAAACTACAAAACTCTTCAGCCAATCTTTTCTGCCTCGTGAACAAGATATACATGACCATCACATCCTAAAAGGCTTAAGCCTAATTGGCTCCCTTTTTGACAAACTCATCCTCTTCAAACTTTCCTTCTCGCAACTAATACTGATGCGACCTTTATACATATTTCCAACAGGAACTCTACGCGAAACAACACAATCACAGTGACTTTTTCACTATGGCTTAGGCATGGTAAACATTATATCATTCTTTCCAAATTTCAACTTTTTCCAACAATTTTGGGAATAAAACTATCTTTTTGTTTATTAATAAGTATTGATCACAGTGTATTGATATATTACATTTTGCTTGCGTGTCGCGAGAAGTTTTAGTAGGAACGACTGTTACACCAAAAGCTTCCAATGAAACAGACAAACCAAAAGCAGTTTAAATTCGGATGTGATTGAATCTGCTGTTTTCTTATGCCTATCATGAGATACTAGCTGATTAATTGTTGTTGAAAGTAACTTTATTGTAACTCTCAACATCTTTGATATTTAATTTAAAACAATTGCTACATTCATGTTTCAGTTTCACCTTAAACTTGCTAGGCCTATTTATCTTTAAAGTTATTTCCAAAATCGCTGAATCACATCACGCATGTAATACCATGAAATACATTCATTCATTCATCAACATTTATTTCAATTAATGATAAATTATAATTACAATAGAATTAGTGTTATGACAACAATATGTACAAATCAGATACGTCTTGATTTTAATTCAATTTGAATACTAAATATATTTACTAATTATTCGTACAAGTGATTAACTTTAAAAAGTAAAAAGAACAAATATGCGTATAAGAGGACGCCTTTTGTAACGAATGTTTAAACAAGTATAATCTCTGTCCCGTTTGTCATGCTTTTACGATTGTATTTAAGCATCACTGCTAATATCATTGTATACTCTGGTTTCATAGATTGTTTATTTAATAATGTTTACTTTGTTTTAATACATTATAGTTTTAAAGGTGACACCTTCAGATTGTTTTTGCTAGGTCTTTAAAAAAAATAGTGTAAAAGTCTCGTCTGTTGCACCAAGTAGTCTGTAATTTTGTTTGTTTAGCGCCGCTAGTTTGCTATGATTTGTTGGTTTATCCATTTATAGTTCACGATGGCAAAGTCAATTGTTCTGTAATGGATATCAACCGGCGTTAACAAGTTTAAGATTAATGTTATTTTAATGATATATGGTACTATGTGAAGACGTAATCGCCGACTCTTGCCCCAACCAAGAACGTTGCATGGCCTAGAATCCAGAGGTTTTGAGCACGTAGTCCTAAAAAATATATCTATGAAATTCATTGTAATGTTTTTTGATCAACATCATCGCCATAATCAGCATCATAATCATTATCACCACCACTACTATCATCATTATCATCGTAATCATCATTATTATCTTCCTCATCATTTCCATTACCCTCCTCCTCATCATCATCATAATCATCGTCATTATGATCATCATCATTTTCATTATGATCATCGTTATTATTATTATTATCATTATTATTATTATTACTATTAATATGTTATTATTATTATTATTATTGTTATTATTATCGTTATTGTTATTATTATCGTTAAAATATTTCGCCACTCAGGCCTATACGAAAAATAGCAATAATAGTAATAATAATAATAATAATAGAATAGTACCGTATTATTATTATTATTATTATTATTATTATTATTATTATTATTATTATTATTATTATTATTATTATTATTATTACAACCAACAATTGCAAACTCTCCGTACGTGAAGAAAAATAAAACTAGATTACACATTGCGTACAAGTTCTTGAGTGGTCTGGTTGGACATTATACATTGGGCTTCGTAGGGAACAACATTTCAAAATGAGCAGTTGATAAGCTACATTTAGTCAAAAAGTGTTAAATTTCTTTCATTCACATTACAAAATCATTGTATTTTCTCTTTCGATTATTTATAAATAATCATAGCTATACTTTCGATACACAACTTATAGTACGGTGCGTGATGTCACCATTTTTAATAGCCAATCAAAAGTTCATATGCTAATATTTTACTCTGAAAAATTCTCGTCACCAACAAGATTGACACAGTACATAAGAACGAATGCACCTAACGCTTTTAAGAGAGTAAACAGCAAACACTGCAACCCAGAAGATACACAGTATATTTTCTCTCAAACCGTAAGTTGTACTAATTATCTGCAATTATTGTATTTGCACGTATAACACATAGATAGAAACAGACCGACCGACTGCCGACGGACGGATGGATGGGTAGATAGATGGGTATGGGTGGAAGGACGAACAGTGGATGAACTGACCGACGATAGCACGGCAGATAATATGAGCATAAAATGAGTAGGGACCTAACTGATGCAACAGCTTCGGGTTGTTGTGTGCTTTCTTTAATATACAGTGTTGTATCTCAACCGAGACCCAGCCATCGTTTCCACCACAGCATTTGTTTTCCGTATGGGCCTACGGTTTAATACTATATATATATATTGTTTAATAATGTAATATTATGCTTGGCCTTTTTACTCAATTTCTTTATATTAACATAACATAGCCTATGTATTATAATTTTACTACTTTTACTTAACTTTTCATAGGAAGCAGTCCTTGATTATAATTTGCTTGACCATATACCAAGAAATAGTTACCTTTGTTCACTGTGTAGTTACTCCGAAATCGGAGTATCTGCGCCCGCCGCCAAAACTCCAATTTTGCATGGTTTTGCGTACTATACGCGAAAACTCCAAAATCGGAGTTTTTAAACTTTTATTCAAACCTCCAATTTCGGAGTTTTTGCGTACTATTAATTAAACAAGTTCTATATATAGAGCAAAACTTTCAATCAACCCTCCGTGACTTCGAAGTTTCTGCGTACTATATGCGAAAACTCCAAAATCGGAGTTTTCAAACTCTGAATTAAACCTCGGATTTTGAAGCTTCTGCGTAGGCCTAATACTAAATAAACAAGTTCTTTCTATATTGAGAGAGGTGAAAACTTTTAATCAATCATTTCGGAGGTTTCGCGTGCTATACCAAAATCTTTCAATTGGTTAAAAGTTTGAAAACTCCGATTTCTGAGTTTCCGCGTATGGTACGCTAAACCTATTAAATTAAAAGTTTTGCTCTCTCGATATAGAGAAAGCCTGTTTATTTAATAGTAGGTTCTACGCAGAAACTCCGAAATCAGAGGCTTAACAGGGCCGGCGGAACGTTTTTTAAAGTGGGTGGGGGGGGGGCACTTATAAGATGAATGGGAATATGAATCATGCAGATCGGGAATCAAACCTAGGTGGTGGGGTCAACATTCCTCCCCCGGGAAAATTTAGATTTGTAGATGGCTGGAAATGACCTTTCTTGACTTTTGAGCTAGGTGTCTAATGACTTTGTTCTTGAAAATTCAAGGTTTACCCCCTCTTGAAAACGGTAAGGTAAACTTTCTCATTACAGTAAATAGGCCTGTTATGCGTGTATACCTTAAGAAAATGAGTAGTTGCATATCGTATTCTTTCTTCAATGGATCGATAAGCTCCAAAGAAAAGGGGGTCCATCCTAGATGGCGGAAAATGAGCTTTTCCCCGACTCCTGAGTTGTCTTAATTACTTTTAAGTTTTTCAAAATTCAAGGTTTTCCCCTCTTTGAAAACGGTCAGGTAATTTGTTCTTATTGTTATTAGTAAAGGCCTTATGTGTCCATACACACATAACATTTAAAAAAATGAGTAGTTGCATACGAATTTTCCATGAATCGATGAATCACGAAAAGAAAGGGGGTCTGGGGGTCCTCCCCCTGGAAAATTTTGATTCCTAGAAGGCGGGAAATGAGCTTTCCCGACTTCTGGGATGTCTTTTAATTACTTTCAAGTTCTTCAAAATACAAGGTTTTTCCCTCTTGAAAACGGTCAGGTAATTTTTTACCATTGTTTTTCAGTAAATATGCCTTAAGTGTATACATACATAAACATTTTTAAAAAAATGAGTAGTTGCATACGAATTTTCCATGAATCAATGAATCCCAAAAAGGAGGGGGGTCCGGGGGTTCTCCCTCGGGAAAATTTTGATTCCTAGAAGGCGGGAAATGAACTTTCCCGACTTCTGGGGTGTCTTTTAATTACTTTTAAGTTCTTCAAAATTCAAGGTTTTTCCCTCTTGAAAACGGTCAGGTAATTTTTTACCATTGTTATTCAGTAAATAGGCCTTATGTGTGTATACATACATAAAAATTTTAAAAAAATGAGTAGTTGCATACGAATTTTCCATGAATCGGTGAATCCCAAAAAGGAGGGGGGTCCGGGGGTTCTCCCCAAGGAAAATTTTGATTCCAGAAGGTGGGAAATGAGTTTTCCCGACTTCTGAGGTGTCTTTTAATTACTTTAAATTCTTCAAAATTCAAGGTTTTCCCCTCTTGAAAATTATTATAATGAATCACTGAACCCAAAGAAAGGGAGGTAGGGGTTCTTCCCGGGAAAATGTTGATTTTTAAGTGGTGGGCAATGAGCTTTCCCGACTTTAATTTAAGTTCTTTAAAATTAAAGGTAATAATTTTTTCCCATTGTTGTTACAGTAAATAGGCCTTATGTGTGTATACAAACATAAAAAAAAGTTTGAGCAAGTTGCATACGTATTTTTTTCCATGAATTGATAAATCCCAAAAAGAAAGGGGGGGGGGGTTGGGTAGGTCCTGTGGTTCTTCCACAGAAAAAACTCCTAGGTGGCGGGAAATGAGCTTTCCCGACTTCTGAGGTGTCTTTTAATGAATGATTCAATTAATCAATAAACTCCAAAGAAAAGGTCCGTGTTCCCCGGGAAAATTTCGATTTCTAGATGGCGGGAAATGAGTATGTGTGTATTCATACATAAACAAATGAGTAGTTGCATGCGTATTCTTTTTGCCATGAATCGATAAATCCCAAAAAGAAAGGGTGGTCCAGGGGCTCTTCCCCTCGAAAATTTTGATTCCTAGATGGCGGGAAATGAGCTTTCCCGACATTTGAAGTGTGTTTTAATGACTTTTTGTTGTTCAAAATTCTAATTTTCTTAATGTAACAAAAAAAAAACTTCATGTAGAAAGACGAAATTGACATTTATTTGGCTCTAACTATAGATTTTTTCCAATAGTTTGTTGGCTACATTTGAAGAGCAGAGATGTCACATTTTCAAAATGTCTTTTCACAACTCGACTTATATTCCAGTGACGCGTCAGATGATGACGACTTGATGACTCACTCCAATGACACAGCTTCTGAATCCAGCCTCTCCTCTGCCAGTATAGACAGCACATTTAAAGAAGCAGATTTCGACGACTTACTGAAGATGTATGGAGAAGGTATTGAGAAGTCTGACATTTTGCCATATAGGAGAGATGTCAGAATTGCCATCAACACCGCGTTCTTTGTTCTCATAGTTATCTCCCTTTTCGGCAACACTCTAGTGTGCCTGGTAATGATGCGCAGTAGCCAAGTTCGCAGTGTAACCAATTTCTTTTTAGCGAATCAAGCTTTTTCTGATATTCTTATGACATTGTTTAATATTCCTTTGGTTTTAACGCGAGATCTCTCCGACGATTGGCCGTATGGGCGTTGGATGTGTTACCTCACAGATTACATCATCCAAGTTTCTATTTTCGTGTCAAGTTTTACGCTGACCGTTATCGCTATAGATCGCCATCAAGTTATTGTTCATCCTCTACGCCCACGAATGGACATTATGTCTGCATGTTTAATCAGTTTTATCATCTGGGCACTTTCACTAATTCTCTCACTTCCAAGCGCTATGTTCCGGAAGCTACACCGATGGGAAACTACACTTCAATCTGGCTACAAATGTATTGCCTCCTATCCAGAACCTAGTGACTTTTATAGAAAGCTTTTCGTCATTATTTCGATCACTCTGCGATATGTAATTCCAATGATCATTATAATAATTGCATATTGCCTGATAGCTGCAACTTTACGCGCCAGAACGACAGTTGGATACGTGACAGCGTTGCAGCGCGATGCCAAGGATCGTAGCAAACGCAGAACCTCAACCATGTTAATTTTGGTTGTGTCTATCTTTGCAGTCTGTTGGTTCCCGCTCAATTGCTATACAATTCTTGTCCTTTACTTCGAGCCATTCCACAGCAATGTGCTGCACTTAGTTTTATATTACTTTGCTATGATAAGTGTTTGCTTAAATCCGTTTGTGTATAGTTGGCGGAACGCAAAATTCAGGGCGGAAATTTATAGCATTTATTCTATCCTGTGTATCAAGGAAAGGGACAGGGCAGCTGAGTTAAAAAGTACAATCAAAGATCGTGGCATTATGGAAATTAAAGAAAGAGAACGGAGTGAAACTGATACAAAACATTCAAGTGATAAGTGACAAAACTCATTATTTAATTTGAGGCAAAAAAGCAGTATTTTAATTTACTACAGTGAATAATTGCATCAGTTCTTTGCAGTCCTAAACAATATGGAACAGATAGGCCAAATTCATTTTTTCCAGAGCAAATTGATTCTATGCAGCAAATTGATTCTTCGCAGCTTGACAATTACGGCTCTTGCTCATCTATGGCATAGAATGTTTTTGGATTCAATTCATGGTCAAACTATTCTTCATCTGTTTCAATTTAATCAATTTACCTGCTCTAAACCCAAATATAGATTAAATTGTTGTCCTATATGTTGATGTGACAAATTGTGTTATTCAATACGGTGACAGTAGCCTGCGTCTGATATAACAACTGCAACGAATGCTACCTCTCTGCCAATGAATGAATAACAATTATAATCAAAGAGTATATAACTGCAAGTGGTCCGACTGCCTTATTTGATATGCACACATCGAAAAGTACTACCACGAGATAGGGGGCGCCCTATTAGAATAAGGATTGAGTTCGCCCGAAACCCGTATTTTGAAATACACGCCTCTTCGTGGCAGTAGTTTTTGAAATAGGGTAACGTTCCAACGAAACCACGAGAGTGGACCTCTTGCAGTTCTATACTCTTTGTTATATTTATATAAAAAGCATTTTTTTCAACTCTACACACTAAAAGTTTTTGTGACAAGTAGGCCAATATGTGATTTAAAAACTTCCAGGCTAGACTATTCCAATTCTCTTTTGTTTAAACTTCTTGCACGCAAATGATTCAAAATCACACTGCCCATGTGTGCTCTTTAACTCCAAAATATTCCCATGTTACCCTTGTACTTCAAAATCTTCACTGGCTACCATTAAACAGCGTCATATCTTTAAAATACTTACGTTAAAAGCACTTGTTCTGAGTGTACCGCCATACCTTACTAGCAAAGAACAGTTACATCTGCTACCTCATATTTTTTAAACGAACTACCTTCTTCCATTAGTTCAGGTACTCATCTCTTAACAGCTTGGCTTTGTTACATACACAGTGCATTTGATCATTATTCTTGGAATTGGCGCATTACAAGTTTTTTTATTATTATTACTATATAAGGGTTTGCCAATATGGCCGTGATATGACATCATCATGCCTATACTGTACCGAGCTATTTATGGCTTTTTCACATATTAATAGTGCAGGCAAAGCTCTAGGTCTATCAGAAAAATCAATTCCCAATTTAATCTTTCTGAGAATATAGTATATAAACACAACAAAATAATATTTAGTTCACTTTTATTATATATTGCAGAGATAAACAAACCCTGTGCTAAAGATACATGAAACTAAACAAATTATACAATAATAATAATACAGGTCTCCATCTAATTAAACACCCCTCCAATTAAAGACCACCTCCAATTAAAGACCATTTTTATGTGGTCCCAAATTAACAAACGTCTTTTATCTTTATTATGCTAAGGACCATAGAAACCCTGGTCCCAAAAGTGGTCTTTAATTGAAGGGAGACCTGTAATTGTGCTTCCTAGTTTTGTAAATATACTGTTCTTTTATGCAAAATTATAAATATATTATTCAGCCATCTCAAAAATAGTAAGATATTATATTTGTTCAAATTTAAAGAAAATTTAGATAACTTTTTTCCTATTGTTTGTTTATGGCTATGGTACTATATTATATAGTGCAAAACTGGAAACCTAAACACACAAGTGTAAACATATATCAATAATCTATATCTAATTTACAAACATAATTAATATAAATAAGAAATATTATTAAAAGGTTTTAAATACTCAAATGACCCACTGCTTATTGTATTTGCAACCCGTTTTTGTTAAAATCCCTGCACACATGTGGCTTTAGTGTGAACTTAATGGCGCCCTCTATAAAAATGCTGCAATTTAAATCCTACTACTATATAAGTCAATATTCAATATCGGCAATTAAAGTTATATTTTATACTGTATGTATGTTTATAAAAATATTATACAAATTTAAAAATACATTCTATTGGATTTATTTACTCTTCAAATAATTTTCTATGGTGAACATAAATAATTTGGATATTATGCTAGTGTCAGAAAAAAAACTGTGTTGCTCAAGCCAAATATTGAAATTTTAGAATTGTTTTTTATTTCTTTGTTTTGCAAAATTATATAATATTTACCAAGGAGGAGATTAAAATACATGGACAACTAAGGCAATGAACCCTAAAATTAGGTCAATGACCTATTTTTTAAAATGGCAACCGACTGATCCGGATTTTCGAAGGTCACTGTGGTTGAGCAACACAACTTTTTTTTAGCCTTACATGTAAATATCATTTTCCATTAAAATACATTTAAAATAGAGTAAGGATAAAACACTGCTTTGCAGAATATAGTCTCAATTTATGAAAGATCAAATACATGCTAATTATATTTTAGTATGTGATATTAAAGAAAAAGAAATATTACATTATCAGTATTCTAATCTGTAATATAGAAATAAAGTAGAACCGTTTGGTTTTTTTTAGAATTTTTGTTGATTTTAACTTTATGTTTCTAATAAAATATGTTTACTCAAGTACACTACATCAATTTTGATTCTTTATGGCTACACAAGATATACGAGTTATCGTAAAATCTTGAAAACCTCCAAATAAGAAAAGGAACATTAAAAACTAATTCAAAAGGATTGAACACAATATCAAATGAGATATCGATCAACACAATTTGGTTTTACAGACATTTTTATCACAAAAATCATTAAATTTACTACTGGCCAACTGAAAGTTTTATGCCAGAATGGAAAAGCATTATTTATCCACCTCTGATAATTGGCAAAAGGATATATGTTTATGTTTAAACTTCCAATGGACTTTTCTAAAGTCTCAATCAAATATATTAACAAATCTGACTAACCAGAATATGACCACAAATGCCCACAAGTACATGTTTATGTACGTTAACACAATAGGGAGCATTCAACTGAGAACGTAGAACGAATTCACTCATCTGTGACTGTCATCACGTGCATTCTACATTTTCATTTTTTTACGATGCATACACAGATATGTCGTGAATGCAAAAGACGCACCAATGCTTAAAACAGTACAAACTACATTCTGGCCTGAACACAGATTTAGCTGACAACCGTTCCAGATTTCAGGAAAGAACGTTACGAGTAATGTTCAGATATGCGCATTTAAATTAATATGACTTCATTATGTTCTACGTCGTCGCAAATCAAAAGTTCCCTATTAACTAAGGGCTGGGCTTAGCAAGATCCATTGAAAGTCAATAACTTAAATAATATTTAATAGCATAAATATAAATTTTTTAAAACAATACAAATTTTCAATTAACTTAAACTCACAAATGTAACTCAACACAGGCGGTATAGAGAACAACTAAAAAATGATAATCATCAACATCAAAGAAGAGAGTTGGGTACCAATGTGAAGCTGTAGAATCTAAGCACCACTCCGATCATTCCTCTGTTACATTAACTGAAGCAAATTCCCACATCTGCAAAACAAAACAAATAGTTAACAACATAGACAATTATAGCTTGGTTTGGTTTTCTTTTTTTTTTTCGTTTTTTTGGCGGGGGGGTTGGGTTTTTTAAGAAATTTTATTTGTGTCCAAGAAAAATTACACTAACCAGTTACAAAGCTCAAGAAACCGTTGTATGCCCATATGATGCACCTCTAGATGGTCATGATATTTATTATTTATTGCTGCTGAAGCGAGTGCCTGCATGAACCAAGGGTGACAATGATGCTGTTTACTATCGGGGCCAGTCCTCCATTTGAAATAATTGACCCACACTTGAATTGCACTGTTGTGTCAATGTGCCACAACCATATTTTCAAATGAATACTGGCTCAAAACAAATTTTCAGTATTATCAAATTCAATTTGATATTCTCGACATGGGCTTTAGAAAGTTTTTTTTTTCTCAACAATACTGAATCTCCTGCCCTCTATAATCTGCTGCCCTCTATATTCATATGCATCTTCTACTGGAGTAAATAATACATAACAAATAAACAAAAGATATCAGAAGATCAAAAATATATTTACCGGTTCCTTGATCTTCCAAGTACCATCTTTTTTCTGCCACTTCAGATATACCATTCCTTTCTTCTCATCCAGTAACGATACACACAGATCAAACATATGGCTTGATGTCTTCGCTAGGCTGTACATACTCTCCCCATCAAGGAATTGGCCTACGTGAGCCATGATCTCAGTCGGCATTCTGCTGATGAAATCTGATTCTAGTGAGAATGGTGAGAGGGGTGTAAGAGGTGTATGAGGTGGTTCGGGTGACAGCGGTGTCTTGGGCGGTTCCGGGTAGAGGAAAACTTTATCACCATCTGCTGTGGATGTCTTTCTGTTAATTGATGATGTTTGTACTTTCTTTTCTTCTTTCTTGATAACCTGGTCACCTTTTTCATGACATTTTTCCTCAGCCTTTTCAGCTTTCTTGCTCTGTTGGAGATCATATATATCATCAAACACCTTGTCTAGGTGGTCTTTTTTTCGTTCTCGTTCACTCTTCCACCGTTCAAGGATTGGAGCACAAACTCTATCATGGACAGATGCACCTTTCTTGCAAGTAAAATGGGAATCCCAATCTTCTACTCTATATTTCTAGATTGAGAAAGAAGGAAATATATTGCATAATCATCTAGCGTAAATAAAATATATATTTCATTAGATATTTTTTTTAAATAAACATGAAAAAGTAAATACATAACATACTGTTGTATATACATTAGTTACAAATATTTTAATTAATTAATGTTTATATGTATGGTAGGTTAATTTTCAGTTTTATAATTACTAAAGAGCATCACATTTAAATCATTTCCATCAAACAGAAGGTGTGGCAGGCCACCTATTTTACTGAAAAATATTGCGTATTGTAAAATTCTTTGGTGAGTAGTACACATATATATTTAGGGTTTAGGATGGTACAAATTGTGTTTTTAGACCACAATAATGAGCAACTGTAACCATAATTGGTTTGGATTAGCAAACATATTTTTAGTCAAGTCAGATGACTTGAAAATGGCATCCAACGATAAGGGATTCACAAAAAGAGATAATTCCCACCCAACTTGTAGCGCCCCCCCCCCCCCCTTACATTGGCTCTAACACTGCATTAAATCCTGTTACATTACACATACAATACATAACAGGGTACATACCTGACCACATTGTATAACAAAAGCTGGACACGTCTGCATATGTTTCACTTGTAAACAGCGAACCACAGACATCGGACAACCGCAGTGGGCACTCAGGCATGCTACCCGTTCAAATGGACAGAGAAGTTTGTGCTCCAATAACTTGCAAGTGTGGAACCTCGCCCCACAATCTAAGTCACAACTTAACATTGAGCATGATTTTTCTGGCTCTGAATCAACTTTACAATTGTAATTGTAGCACTTGAGACAGTGTGAATGTAGCAGAACTTGTTCTTCAGTTTGTGATGCCATATTTCTGCAGAAGAAAAAACAAAAAACTAAATTATTCCCTATAAATTCCTAAGTTTAGGCCTAGGGTCATAGCAGTGGCGGCGCCAGCGGGGAGGCTGTCCTAACCGGACAGGTCAAGTGCCCCCCCCCCCCGCCGGACAGAGCTTGTCGGGCAGTCAGACCATAAAACATATAAAAATAGGTCCACACCAAGCC